CTCTTGTAAAGCAGCTTTTATATCTTCCTTAGAATCAAAGATTCTACGTCCAATTCTCTGTTTTAGAATGCTCTAAATTCCCTCAATAAGGTTCAAATCAGGGCTTTGAGTAGGGTGTACAAGGTTGTGAATTCCTCTTGCATCCTTATACTGCTTTGTAAGACCTGCTTTACGCATCCCATGAGAAGGGTCCCCATCCTCCTGTAAAAGCCATGGGTTGTCGTCAATTAAGCGCATAGACTCAATAGCACTATAATAAACAGGTAGCAGCTTGTCTATATAGTACTTTTGAGTCATTCCATTGCCTTGAACCTTCTTCTTAACCTTGTGTAGTTTTCTAGCTTCCCAAACCTTAACTCGCTCTTGAAACTCTTCTTCCGTTTCTGTTGTTGGACGACGACGGGGACGTGAAGGGTAAGGAGGAGCTTCTACTATATCTTGAGTATCTTCTTCATCGTTGTAAAAGATCAAAAAGGGTGCTTTGCCGTACTAAGAGATCTGAGTAGTAATGTGGAATCGTACGCCTTTTAAAGGAGGCCGTTCTTCGATATTCTTAGGCTTATCTCGTGTTCCTTGCTCTCGTAGGACTCTTCCTTGGGTTTGAGAAGTAGGATCTATGTGCGCTTCGTCTGTATATATAATATGATCAAAAAAACCGAAGAGTGCGTTATAGACATGCCGTTCTCTAAAGTCTGTTCTTGTATCCCTATTCTTCGTCGAAATAACCTTCCGGATAAAGGTACACAAGTACCGTCCACCCTTCTTCGTATGCTCTTTTATCTTCCGTTGAAATTGGCGCTTTCCAACAGGTATTTTGTAGTATTCTATCTGTGCTTCGTAAGGGTGTTTTCGTACTGGATTCGAAGGCGACACTAAAGTCTTACACATCTGCTTCGTGACTTTAGAATTCCCCCCAAGTATATTAGACCTTTTCCTAGTCTTCCTTTTTGCTTTAGAACCAAGTTCTGTAAGTTGTTTCTTCTAATATCGACCTATTCCTTCTGTAATTCCACAAGACTCTGAAATCGAACGCATAGAGCGCGTTGCTCCACTACGGCGTAGTGCGTCATAGAATTTACACCGTCGAGTAGTTGTAGCTTCTTTACCAGCTAGAGGTTCAGGAGAAGGAGTCCGAAAGGGGTTGGAACGCGTTGGTGGTGCCATAATTAGGTTGTTTTTGGTTTATTTACTTTTTGAAATGTTACGATTTTTGGTTTTTAGTGTTTTTGGCCCGTGCGTAAATAATCATGTCAACCACTGTTGTGACTATGGTTGTCTTGACAGGGGCGGGGACATTTCAAAGGAGGGGTGTCATGATTTCTTCAATGTTTCCTCAATTGCTCTCCTCCATATCTACAGCCTCCCCCCCACTGAACCAATACATCTCCACCCATCATGGACCGCCACCGCCATACTCCCTCCTCATCGCACTCCTCACCATCTCTCCGCACAACTTCGCCGTCGGATTCGCCGCCACAGCCAGCGCTTTCGCGACTTCATTCCCATACCGTCCACCCATGCTGAAATCACTCGACGCTGCCTCCTCGAAGTCCACCACGCCCCATTGCGCTTCTGGGCGGGAGGACGAGATGTGCAGGGTTGAGGAGGGGAGGGAGAGGAGTTTCGCGGTGGTATGGTAGAGGGCGCCGCGTTGGGTGTAGGATGAGGAGAGGGTTTTTGCGGTGTGTGGGGAGAGGGGTGCGAAGGGGGTGGAGGGAGTTAGGAGGGAGATGGCGAGGGCGATGTCGTTGAGGAGGGTTGTGGATGCGGAAAGGAGGGCTGAGGGGGAGGAGGTGAGGAGAGGGGGAGCGACTGAGGGGTCTGGTGAGGGAGAGGAGGATTGGACGAGTATGCCGTCGCCGTATAATCGCCGGAATGCTTGTGCTCGATTGTTTCGCGCAGAAGCGTAGGAAGGGTATTCGTCTATCAGTTTTCCTAGCGACTCGGCACATGTCTCGTATTGGGAAATGGGTGTTGGGGCACTCTTTGGGATTGGTTTTAGACCGGCGACTTGGAGTTCGGCTTCTTGGAGGGATTGTATGATGTCGACTTCGAGGCTAGATATCTTTTGGTAGAGAGCCGTGTCTGTGATATGGGGGTCTTTTGGGAGGGAAGAGTCAATGAGGAGGGGAGCTGAGGGGTCAGCCTCGGGGTTGTTTATCCTCTCGAGGATGGAGAGGTCGTGGGGTGTTAGAGGTGCTGATGCCATGGTGGATGTTTGGCTTGGGGTCCTTTTCGTACGATCAGAAGTCGAGCCTTCTTCTTGAAGTGTCAAAGCAGACGTGTGAGTCTCTTATGCTGACGATAGCGAGATCGATGCCTCCCCAAGGCAATGGGGACTTGAGCAGTAGTGGGGAATGACGACGGCGAGGGGACAAGGAGAGACGAACCGAGATATCAAGGAGGAGAGAGAGACCGGGATAACAAGGAGAGACGGACCGAGTTATCAAGAAGGGGAAAGAGACCGAGATATCAATGGGAGCAGAACGAGATATCAAGGGGAGAAAGACCGAGGCATCAAGGACAGGGAATTCGAGGGCTTGATTTGATAAGGAATTCACCTATACCAACCAGCTCGACTTCGCTTGCTCATCCCCGGCAGGACACGATTGGCCGACTCACTATGCAAGAGTAAGTCGCTTCTTCAGCAGAGAGGTGGGAGATGGCAACATACCTCTTTCTTATGTGCAATTACATGGCCGACGGAAGCCGAACCTAAGCGATCAACTCAAATTCCGCTAGTCTCGTCATCTGAACGCACTAGACCGAATCTGGGTGTTAAACCTCCAATGGCCGGGCTCTGTTATGCTTCACTTTCTAGTTCCGCTAGCAAGATGCAAGTCACCGTGAGGTAAGTCCCATTCACTTGTGGTTAGCCCGATGATTCGGTGGTATTTAGTTTCTGCTTTCCAGCATCTTTCTACTTCTGCTTCTTCTTCTTCCCATTCAACAATCACTTTGTTTGGTTTCAAGGAGCCTTACTTCATCACCAACATCTCAATTTCTCAATTTCTCAATTTCTCAATTTCTCAATTCCTCAATTTCTCAATTCCTCAATTTCTCAAGCTGAGCCTTAAATCTTGTTACTCTTCTGGTATATTGTACATACCTCCTCTCTCTTTGGGTCCATCGTTTTGTCAAAATGGCTCCTTCCGCTATCACTCCGCCTGTTCTCTCACCGACAACTCTTACATTTCCAACGTCTACAGACACGAACGGCGCAGTGGATGGCACACCAAACTTCCACGGCTATGATCACATCACTTGGTATGTTGGAAATGCCAAGCAAGCTGCTTCGTTCTACACAACTCGCATGGGCTTCAGAACGATAGCATATCAGGGTCTTGAGACTGGTAGTCGGTACATTGCTTCTCATGTCGTCGGGAATGGCAATGTCAGATTCGTTCTTACTTCTCCGATCAAGTCATACTCGTGTCTTGACGGTGATGAGCCTATCACCTCGGAAGAGCGAAGCCTGTTGATGGAAATTTACCAACACCTTGAGAAGCATGGTGATGCTGTTAAGGATGTTGCTTTTGAGGTCGATAATGTGGGGGGTGTTTATCAACAAGCCGTTGAGCGAGGAGCTGTCTCCGTTCAATCACCACGCACACGTTCCGATGAGAACGGCTCAGTCACAACCGCCATCATCCGAACATACGGAGACACAACTCACACCTTGATCTCACGAGACTCATACGACGGCGCCTTCCTCCCCGGCTACAGATCCATCCCCTCATCCAAAGTCGATCCCCTTCAATCCCTCCTCCCAACCATCACCCTTGAAGCCATCGACCACTGCGTCGGCAACCAGGACTGGGGACAAATGGAATCTGCCTGCGCCTACTACGAAAAATGCCTCTCCTTCCACCGCTTCTGGTCCGTTGACGACAACCAAATCTCCACCAAATTCTCCGCCCTAAACTCCATCGTCATGGCCTCCCCCAACAACGTGGTCAAGATGCCCATCAACGAACCCGCCCCTGGTAAGAAGAAGTCGCAAATCGAAGAATACGTCGACTTCTACGGCGGCGCAGGCGTCCAACACATCGCTCTCCGCACTAAGGATATCCTCTCCGCGGTCTCCGACATGCGCGCTAGAGGTGTGGAGTTCATTAGTGTGCCAGAGACGTATTACACGACAATGCGTCGGCGTCTTAAGACTGGAAGGCGCAGTTGGAAGTTGCAGGAGGATTTCGATACCATTCAGAAGTTGAATATCTTGATTGATTTCGATGAGGGTGGCTATCTTCTGCAGTTGTTTACTAGGCCGTTGATGGATCGACCGACGGTCTTTATTGAGATTATTCAGCGGAATACGTTTGATGGATTTGGCGCGGGTAATTTCAAGAGTCTTTTTGAGGCGATTGAGAGAGAGCAGGGGGAGAGAGGAAATTTGTAACAGATTGCGATTGGGTTGGGACGGAAGGGGGTGAGTGGTATGTAGGAGATATCGGGGATGACAGATCGTACAGCATTCCGATAGCGGTTGAATACCAGAGGCATGATTTGGTCCAAATTTTGGACGTAGCGATAAGACATGCATAGGCTAGCTGTAGGCCACAGTGTCAGTAGTAGAGTACTACTCTACTTGATTTAGGGAAATTGACTTCTTACCCAGGACTCATTCCTCCTGTGTAATTTCACAGGCAATCTGGTGACATGATGCTAGAGAGAATGGCATATGAACTCATGTGCTAGGATGTCCATGAATGAATGTAACGGTGGTTGGTTGTAGCGTTAGGTTCGTCGGAAACGGTTATTTTCTATAGCAAGAACTCAAAGGAAAGACTAATCGTTGAAGGTAAGGTAATTTTCGGATGAGAGGAAGGAAACCGTTCAAAGGATATCATTCGCTTGAGTTCCAGAGTTTGTCAGTCGCCTTGAATCTTCGAATCTAAATCAGTTAATACGTAGTAGTCACTGAGCGAGCCTCCCCCAAAACAACATTCACCACCACTTACCCCAACCAAATTATCCCAAAAGAATTGTAAAAACGATGAGGGGTACCGGATTTTAACCGATGACCACTTGGAGTCCCTAGATCACTTCTCCCAGACTTGGTAAAGTAACCCAAGCCTGATCCGAAGGAAGCTGCTTAATGCTGGAATCAAACATGCTACCACTACACCAACCCCCCGAATTGATGAAGGAAAGAATGGTTATTTGGGTTTATGCTTGAATGAGTATTTTTCACAGTGGATTAGGGCAGCGGGCGACGTGGGTGTGTTTTGTTGGCGCCTTCAGCTGGGTTCTAGTGCTTTGTACAGTCTGTGGGGTTTCTGCACCCGTATACTGTTGTTTCACTTCACGTTTAGAAAATCTAGATAAAACAATTGGTGCTGGCAACGGAACCCTATTAACAACGACCAATTCAGCTCTATCTTGCAAATTTGATAGATCGAACAAACCCAACAGCTGCGACCCTCGCATCTCCGCTTGTCACTTGTAGGATTCTTAGCGCCCAAGGAAAGAAGTTGTTGATAGTAGATTCACGGTCTTCTCGACTATCTACAGATTTCTTAATTGACTTTCCTACTTGGTAGAGGATCTAATGTTGTGGGTTGTCGACACAAATCAATGGTTACAGATACTATGTGACTCTTGGAAACATGATTTGATGTCTTATTTCCTTTATTTACAATCCTTGAAACTAACTGCAAACCTCTTAAATTCGCCTCCTAAATAGTTGAGAATGTAATAGTGCGTTTTTCTCCTGTTATTAATAAACATTTCAGTACTGTCCTAGTCATACGACTACCATCACACCAACCAGTCTTCTTCAGAGTAATCACTGCCAGAAGAATCACTCTCATAGTAATCATTGCTACTGCTAGAGCACTCACCGTCAGATGTCTCTGTGTCAGAAGACTCTTCGTCATAGTCAGAATCCATCTCCTCCCTTACCAATTCTTCCGTCAAGCCCCATTCCTTCAGAATATCAGCACTTGGAATTTCTCTTCCACTGTCCATCAATTCCTCTGCAAGACCTATACTGAGGCTCATGGCTAGCGCCGGTCTTTAGTTTCCATGAGACCCATGCTGCGCGCCTTCCTCGCTAGCAGAATACCAATCTGCATGAAAGAAACACCGTGACCAGAACTTCCCTCACCTTCCCATGTTAGCAAACAATCTTTGCATAAGTGTATGCCTAGAAAAACGTGAAGCATTTCGTGAAAGAGTGTCCAGAACATTTTGTTTAGGATACTTGGTGGAGACTTTTTACTTCTACCATGCCTGTTGATCAATATACGATAGCTCTCGGTCTCTTCGTCCTGAATTGTTTTTCCTAGTACAGTATTGCGGGTAGATCTTGTAACATTGTCAATGGTAAGGCGTGTATATTTTTCTATGGTCCCGAAGAAAAAGAGTCTGTCAAAAATCCGAGCATAGGACAAGAAAAAGAGAAGGGTTCCAGATCCTCTTCAATATGATACTTTTGAAAGGCATGCTTAATCGTATCTTTATGGGTGTCCATCTCTTTTTGCTGCTCTGCGATCATGGGCGACGTAGTCTTGGGTGCTGCGAAGTGGGTGACTATTTCAACCAGTTTGGAAGGGCTTAGCCTATGCAGTGGAAGTTTCTGACCACCCTCCAAATCTTGGATAGAGAGTTCCTGGTGTGTATGCATATTTTCAGCTTTCGTTTAGTGCGAGTTGCAAATATGGATAAGCTTCTTGCCGTGATGCTTATTTGATAGAATGAAATGTTTTTTCAACAAGATCTACGTAATATATAGACACCAAGGACTTTTGTTAACAGTATGTTTCTAGCCGAACCTTTATTCCACGTTTTCTGTCTATGAGCGTTGTCCCGATAGTTGTGCAACTAAGAAAAATAAACCAAGGCTTGGGTGAACAAATAAATCATCCCATTCACCAGAACACTCAACTTGAATGAAAGGAATTGGAGCGCTAGTCTAAACACTGCCAGAACAGCTCATCTTATGTCAAAACAACGGTAGGCAAAGACCAGTGGAACGCAGAGAACAACATTGAACCTCATATCGTAAACCATAGTGGAGATTATGTTACATAGCCTCATAAATATCAAATTCCGGATACTCGATTACATGATCATATAGCGCTTGAAGAGAAGGTGTAAGAGAAGGCACTGGGTCAAGCGAAATCACTTCTTCTTCCTAATAGTTAGGTGTGTAGTGTTACAACTAATGCGGGTCGAATCCCATAAAGTACAAAAGCTCTCTTTCGAATGGTTCTTTCTAAGAACTGCCAGTCTCACAAGGGGCAAATTTATATAGAGAAAATAAAGCAAGTAGTCAAAAATATTAGTGGTTATTATCTTGAAGGCTTAAGTTTTGGGTGAATGATCAATGCACATTTTCAGTCTATATAACCTCAGCCTTTCATGTCGCACTGAGTGAAGCTAGATCTTCCTTTCCAACAAGCCCAATCGTTGGAGCCCTCCTCCACGACACTTGACGGTGATGGAAACATCATTCTACCTCTAGATCCTTAGATATGTTACCAGGAGGATGAGTACTCTTAATAACCGCAATGATTCTAGCACGACCAGGGGAGTTTTTCACCCCATAATTTTCCGTGGTCATCAACTCCAAGAGAGCGCGAGACTCCTTTGCCACCTCCGGATCCCCTACTCCATAATTCCAGTGTCTTCTTGCTTCAGGGTTCCGGTCGACGAGGAGACGCGCAGAGTTCATGAGACCCTCGAGTAGATGCGAACCTTCATCCAGTATCAGCGAGCGGGAACTTTCTTCGAGACTACGTTCGCTCTCACGAGTATCGAAGTGATTGAGCTGTTTTTGGTAAGCACCGAGATGCTCTACGAATCGCCATCTCTCTTTCATGTAGTCCTTGTACTGCACCTTGTACATGATTCGACTTCAGCTCATCATCTGCTTCCGTTCCAGAATCTCGACTTCTGAGGAAGATATCTGTTGCAAGTTCTTTTCGAGTAGGACTTTGTCGATTCCCCACTCGTCGAGAAGCTGGAGCTCTGGTAGTGGTATTCTGGTTCCAACGAGCTCCCATGCCAATGAGTTCTCGAGGGGAATCATGCTGTTTGAAATTCCTCGGTGACATGCCGATTTCGACACAAGTGCAGCCACGGTCATGAACGTCTTGCCATGTGCGTAACGGCCTGTGTTCTCCCAATCATCACAACACTCCTTGCACACAAAATAGCACAGAAAGACGTGGACCATTTCATGTAGAAGGGTTACAAGCATTCTGTGTAGCACTTGACTTGGGTACTTCTGGTCGTCACTTTGCTTGTAGATTGTCACCATAAATTCTAACCGGGGCGGCAAGTATTTGGTGCGGCCAAACAGCCCGACAGTATTGCGGAGAGCAGGATCCATGACCAGCGTAATGACATTTTTAAGACTTCCGAAGAAGAAAAGATCATCGAACATGTTCATGTAAGTTGTAAATATTGCGTGGTAGCCAATGACTTTGTCGTCGATGTGTTTTCGCCGGTCCTCTAATGCGTTGTGTTCTCTTTCTTTATAATTCTCGATTACATCCCGCTGGCGTTTGACCATATGCGTGTCCTCAGGATCAGTGTAGTATGAGACCATACTGGCAAGATAAGATAGAGAAATGCTTCGTTGTGGAAAAGGCTTCGATGGAGAATGGAGCTCGGCAAACAGTATGTACTCATGTTGATGAGTCCTGTCCTCATCAGTGTAACCATCTAGTGGTCCGTTGACTAGAATTGACATGACGGGAGACTCTGTTCTGTTGGTTTTGCAAGTCGTGCTTGTAATTTCAAGAATTTCTATCGAGACTTCGTTTGACAAGGAGACCGAGTCCCGTGGAATTTTTGAGTGTGCCTGTAATTGAGAGAATCTTGTCCGAGATTTTTGAAAATAGGGGCTATCGCCGAGGCAATATATTGATGCTAGATGGATCTGTTCATGGGGATATGGATAATAAGCATGTTCATCTACACGCACGGCTCCACAAGATCCTGGAGGGGAAATGTTAATAGTGAAATCTGCTAGGTAAACCCCCTTCAACAAGGTTGTTGTGAAGAATAGAGATGGACAGCCATGTGTCACTGGTACATGCGAATTTAGAACTGGGCGTAGATATACTTTCCATGACCGCAACGACAGTGGCTTGAATTTAGAGAAGAGCTTTATTTGGCGCGTATAGATACCGAGTCAATTTCAACAAATCTGCATTGAATCTTGCCTCTTGACCGAAGGCTTAACGGAAACAACCAAACTGGAGGGTATTGACAAAGTGAAGTGGTGGTAGCTTCAGCACAACTACATAATCTTATGATGGGCATGGCTGGCAGCAACGAGTATCATAGAAGTAGGAGGCACATCCACAAAGGTAGCTACAATACAAAAAGATAGGGACATGTAATACAAAAGCCTTTAGAGCAAATATGGAGGGTGCTGAGCTTCCAGGGACGATATGAATAGAAATAGGATTCTGCTCTGGTCAAATATTAAGTAACAAAAGTCATGCTATCTTTTATGTTAATGACACTACCTCAAGCAAGTTACAGAGAAATTGGCCCCCTAAGCACCCACAAAGTCTATCATCATAAGAACGAACACACAACACACGCCAGGACGAACAAAAAAGCATCACAAATGGAGGACAGCCACGATACACCCTCAGGATCTGGAAGCCTTCCTCACAGGTCATCTCGGCCGCTTCCAATGGCCTGCATTTTCCGTCTAGAAGTCCACTTGGTGAACATCGAGTGCGTCTCTGGGGAAGAGCTTGGTTCAACGTGTTGGAAGGAGGCATCATCAGAAGCAAAGACCGGATCCCTACAGGGGGAGCTTGGAAAGCTCATGCAAGCTTGCGCATCCAATGTAACACAATCCGCACATAGACGAAAAACAATTCATCCTTAGAAGCTTCTATCACAACGACTCGCTGCAGCTACATTCATGCTCAGCCAACCGTGAAGTCCATCTCTAGGAAAAAGTCGAAACAGCGGAATCTCTATCGGGACAAAGCAAGTCCATCTTGACCAGTACAACCATGCCTGAAGTGAAATTGTTACATCCCATGAACGCCTCTAATGCTTAGCGGTAACCGTCTCTCCGGTAAGCTTCTCGACATATGTCTTGGCCCTGTAAAACAAAATGTATGAGCAACTGATGCTTTTGAAGTGGAGGGACCCAGGGAG